CTTGTTTTTCGGCGCTTGTTGACCGAACCAGTCAGTTAAAAACTACTAACAGTGCAGTATGAATGTCGATGAGTTGATAGCTCAAGTATTTAGAGCTTCCAATTTCCAAAAAAATATATTACCCACGTATTGTGGGTTTTCCCTAGAATGTTCAATACCGTAACCAATAGGACAAATATAACATGTATGTATTAAGATGATAGACTAACACATTTAATTCAATATTAATTAAGTGTTGGATTTTTATAGATGAAACTTGTATACTTTATTTACCTAGAAAATTAAAACATTTGAATATATCTCACAATATTATTTGCATCATAATTAATCAGCTACATAGGGTGTTTAAAACTCCCTTCGAGTATTTTTTAGGTATTATTATTGGTCCAAAATTCGTTCTGGCGCATGGATAGGTTGCTTATGTCAATTCCCCCAAAACCTCACTACAAACAATTTTTTTGAGGATGTAATTAAACGTGGTTAACTCCATTCTCATATGAGAAAAAGACCTCACTCTGGCCACTTTCAATTTAGGAGATAGATGGTGGTATTCCCCGAACCTACTTCTTCCGCACATTGAATGAACACCTACTTTCCTTCTACGAATTTTCAATTCTACATTTTCAATCAAAAATAACTCTTCATCACAAGGTATCGTCTCAACCAGAGCTGAGACTATACTGAGCTTGAAATGCAAGCGTTTGTTGTGAACACACAACAACATTCTCAAGCGCTTGGAACAAGCACTGAAAGTAAGTTACTTGTAACCAGCTTTCTTTGTGAACGCACCCTTACTCCGCTAGAGCGAAGCACTCAATTGAATTGGCGGATGGAAGTGCTGCTAGAGAACTTCACTTGAGTTAGTTACAGAAAACTCCAACAGATAGCAGGGAAGGTTCGTTTGGTCAGTAGAATTGGTGCTCTTATGTGCTGCTTCTAGATGGAAAGCTAAATACATAATACATTTTTATAGTGATCATAAATGGACTATATTTACCATATTATAACCGTTATCAGATTTTTAAATCATACCATCGGCATCTAGAATCAATGAAAAATGGACCAGCAGAATGACATCTAAATAAAGTCATAGCTGTATCTTAGCTAATCTAGTCATAAAAATACCCCTGCCCATATCTTATGACTAAACAATTTTCGATTTGTCTAAAATTGTCACAAAAATAATTTCTTAAATATGTTATTTATTCTATATTCAAATAACATTTAACCGTTTATGTTTGCCACTATAAATATTGACAGGCAAGGGATCAGTATTATTTTTTATTTAATTATTTTTAAAGTTAATAGTTTTATTGTTTGATACAAAGTTATAATATTTGCAAATCTTATCAAAAATATGTAAATAAACAAGTAAACTAGAAATTTATGTTTTTTTCGTAAAAATAACAGGACAGGGGAATTTTAAATATAGTTCTTGTAATTTGCTTTTCTTTGATACACAATTATGTTTGTTTTAAGCTAAACACTGGGGATGTAATGTAAATTAGGCAATTTCATGTTTTAGTTTTAAGACACGAGTTTCTCATAGATGTGATGGATTTTTATTTTGAAAAATTACCATTGCATTAATTTTGTTATGATAAATGGATTTTTTTTACCATGGTAGTGTGATTTGGACATTCTCTATCAGTGCTTGATTTCTAGAAACGCAAGGTTCAGTTTACAAACCATGTCTTACACAGTAAATAAAGTTAAAATTACTACTTACCAATCTGAGGTAAATGAAATTTATTCTGTTGACTTTTTATCTTACAAAAAAGATTTATTTGGTCCGTTGCTTTAGCTTTATAGCTGAAGTTAGTTGAAGAATCTCACAAAATCTTTCCCATTGTGCTTGCTTTGCTTTATAATGGGAACGCAGCATATGACAGAGTTTTTTGTGGCAATTGCATGCAAATTTTGAAAACATAAATCTTTCCACAAAAATGTTTGATACAAACTTGATTGTGGCAGCACAAAAAGAGTTGTAGTTCAATATTATGGCATTGGCTGGTATGTCTTGTAAGAATCTGTCGTAGAGTAAGATAGTACGATTTCTGTATTAAAGTATTTGTATAGTAAACACTTTTGAAGTGAAATGAATTAATTATTAAGAATGGGTTGGTCATGTAGTACTGTCTTAACATTGTCTGTTATTTGTTTGTCCTTTATGGACTCCTAAACCACTAGACAGATTGTAATGAAACTTTCAGGCATTATTAAGCATTATTCAAGGATGGTTTGTGTGAAGTTTGGTGCAGATCCGTCAAAAGGGCTCCGCCCCAGTGGCTCTGGAGTTTCCCATGTTAACCGAGTACTCATATTTAAATGGAATTAAAGAATCTTAACAGCTGGTTCACCTAAACAATATGATTCTGTGATGTTCAATAGCATTAAAAAGTTAATAGGTTTACCAACAGGGTGCAGCACTATATTTTTCCAATTTATGACAACAGCTAATTTGCAACCAAAAGGTGAGTGAGCGTAGCGAACGGACTTCAACCAGAACGTGATTGATCCATGCGAACGAGCTCATCTTGAAAATGATTAAAAATACCTATCGTGATATTAAGTCCAAGAAGCCGAAACCTCCGGACAACAGGGCTGCTATATAGGACCAGGTCCTCTTCAGCCAGTGAAAAATATTTATGTTATGTGTTCGGGTTTGAACCCGTTGTATAGGCGAGCAAGCAACACACAAATAATGTTTAAGAACTTAAAAGCGGTGTAGTTATGGTGCTACTAAAAAATCACTGCGAGTATCAACAGATACAGATTATTCATAGTAATAAATCTCTGCTTCAAGTTTCGACTATTTCCATTAACTTATTATTTATAAATGGTAGTTTGTTTCTGTACCTTGATGATTTGATGTTATAGTACAGGACAGTTATGCAAAAAATACCCTAATCTAGAACAAATTCATTCAAGGGTAAACTCTTCTGGAATCTGTTTGGGACATACTCCTTAACATTTCTTGAGAAATCCCCAAACATTCCACTTCAGTGAGATCCGCCATCTTGGAAAATGGCGGCAATACAAATCAAACTTGCAAGGTTTTACGGAAAATGTTATAACTAAAAATTATTCGACTTATAAGTCGTGTAGACTAAAGATTTAAATTTCAAACAATATACATATATTTGATTTTTTGTGTTGAGATTTTGTTTTTAAGTAAAAAAAATGTAATTATGTATATTATGGGAAATAAAATATCATTTCATTTCATATGACTTATGCGATATTATGCCGACAGTCACGCCAATGATAAGAGTTTGAATTCACCAGTATCTGTGGCTATCAAATGCCTAACCGTATCAGTAATATGTACGTAATAGATTATCACAAACTTGTATATAAACACACACTATTGGATTTGTATGAATGATGACCCTATAGAATTACCCTACTATGCTGTGTAACCAAGTAGCTTCATATTTTCATAGTAAACAACCACGGCTTTATATCGCAACAACTCTGTCAGCGAGTGGATGCATATTAAGGTTATTTGATTATAAGCCAATCATCGGTCTCAGGTAAGAGACACGACTCTCGGCTTTTCAAACAGTATAATTTAGGTGGGTTGTGTAATTGGTAATTCAATAGTGTATTGCTTATAAGCGCAGTAGTCAAGTAGCTACTCAAAAATCACTGCGAGTATCAACGGATACAGAGATTTCATAGTAAACAACCCCTTGCTTTAAATCGCAACAATTTACATTAACTTATCACTTATAAATCGTAGTTTCTTTTAGTTTAAGCAACATTTGTTTTTTCGTCTTGATAATTTGTTATTATTTTTTAATAAACGCACTTCTATAGATTTAGGCTCAGTGACACCTAGTGGTGACTAGACGAACTGTTGCGCACTTTAGTTAGAGTGATACATGTTAGTAGCGCTAGCGTAGTCGTCAAACACAGCACGTTGTCGATCTTTACCATCGATGTATAATAACTCTACCAGAGTTATTATACATCGATGATCTTTACGCGACAACGGCTTGTGTAGACGATGGAACAGTAACAGTACTGTAATATAAATTTTATAAATGTGATTGAATTTAACATGAATGAAAACGTGGTATATTTTCTTTACAATATAACAATTCTCCATTTGAATCGCTGAGCTCTAAAAGTTAAAAAAATGAAATACAGGTACAGTAGTTATTAGTTAAACACTATTATTCCATCGTTTTTGCATCTTATGAAAAAAGACCAGAATACCTCGATTTAAGTTTATTCTTAAATCATCTTCTTCCATTAACTTGAATTAAGGAGAAATTTCCTATCCTAGAAGTTATAGCTTACAGACCACCTTTTGTATGTATCAATAGTCATTATTGTAGTAATGAAAGGTTCATCCAAATGGGTCATTATCTCTAACCATTTTTGCATAGATATCATGGTTCATTCAAATGAGTCCATGGACTTATCAGGAGTCTTATCTATAACCTTTATTGCATAGTAATGCAAATGGGTCCATGCATTCCGAGGTTATCTATAACCATTATTGCATAGGGTCCATGCATTTTTGGAAGTCTTATCTATAACCATTATTGACTCCTTTATTTATGCATTATTGTATACTGTAGTAGCATTGACTATTGGATACTGAAGTTGTATTGATAGTCAAAGATAGTAGCTTTAATAAAAAAGGGTCTATACATTTTTAGGACTCTTAGGCTTAAAGATGTCCCCCATCCCAAAGCATGCTGTAATTCAATTTTAAATTGAAAGTTCTCTATAGTTTTACACTCAAACTTCAATAATCTTATAAAATGAATTAGGGGTTTTTTTTAAGTGCTGAACTTTTTTTCATTGTTGGTTTGTGTATCTTTATTCTTTAAAAGAGTCTTTTGCAGAAAAAAATTAATAATGCAAGCATGGTGGTTGACTACAACCAATTCAGTTGTATGGTAAAGATTTTCTATTTCTAAGATTCAATCATCAAATAAGTTTTTACCAGAAGGAATGTGTAACGACCAAAAGGAAGAATACAGTTTTCACTTATTTAACGTTTATTTGACGCTATAATACATAAAAAACTGTAAGAGGCTAGAAAAGAACAAATTTAAGTACAACGTAAGTACAATTTATCTACAGATCCTAACAAGTTTTCAGTGGTACAGTATAAAAACACAACAGAAATTTCTACTCTACAACAATAAATAATTGATATAATAGTTACTAACAAAACCATCCATCCGACATTAATACTGTTAAATCGGCAAACAAAAGCCAGACATTCGACCCAAAATTGGTATAAATTATTAGTTAAATTACTTCATTTCTAAAACAATTTCAAACAATTCAGGCAATTTACATAACCGGTATTAGGCTTTGTACAATATGCTTTGTGAATAAGAATTAATTTGCTTTTCATGTACTGTACAATGTATTAAAACGTATTAAATAAATAAATAAATAAATCAACAACTTTTCTAACTAAGACTATCAAGTCAAATCCAAGGCAAGAAACAAAATTCAGCTTTCAAACCTAGCTTGACTTCGAGCATTTGTAAAATCCATGAAAGACAATCTTAAACGAGACTTTCAACAAATAAAGCATCAAACTTAGAAAATTAACAAATAAATAATCCTCAACTCAGCCAAAATAAAGCAATAGTAATACCATGAATACAGGATTGGCTAAGACAAATTTGGCAAGACTCATATATCAAACTAAAGGCATTTGATTGTTCAGTAAAAAAAATCATTCGTCCTCAAAAATATGGAATGTTTTATATATAGCCTTGTGAAATATTGTTCATGAGATCGAATCAAGATCTTGGAGAGACCCTGGTCTTTGGAATCTAAAAGCCTTCCATCACAAACTATTTCTGTTACTATTTTTCATTTAATGACACTTAAATTTTGACTCTTGGTCTTTAAATCCATTTAGACTCAATACTTGGTTAAACTTCTATTGACAAAATATTTTAAACCTTATTTGCAAATAAGGAATGTTTAATTAAATAATCTTTTACATCAGGTACTTTAAGAGGTGATTATCTTATTTCAGAACCTTGATAGACAAAAAGTTTTTATGAACTGTACATAATAATTTGTGTAAAAATTAAGCAAAAACATTGTGAATTTAAATTACCATAATTAAATCTTTCCTTAATCACTTCTTAAAATACCATACAATTTTACTGGCTTTTACAATACATCAATAGAAAACAAACTTTACTTAGGCAAAAACGTTTTTAAATAACACAGCAAGATTTACTACGCTTTAGACAAAATTTTCTAAAACGTTGAATAATAACACTTTTAAATCCTGAATAGTTCCTCCTGAATTCCAAATACCCCTGACTAGTCCAACATCGAATCCTTCACTTGACGAGCACCTTTCAGTCGGGATGGGGAAGACTAGATGAAGTCGCAGTTTCCGTGTAGTATCAGGACTTAAGCGCGACAGGGGTGGTCGGAGGAGGTGATCTCTGTTCTCCGCCGGTCCTCACCTTCTCCAGCACCCTGATAAGCTGATCCAGTCCGTACAAGAACCCTTCTTCGTGGTTGCCCGGCGACCATGCGCTGCGGTGGTTCACAGTCATGTTGGTAGGAACAGGCCGCGTCTTGGCAAAGTCGATCAGCCAGGCTCCAACTTTACTGTCGTCGTACATCAGCAGAAGACTGCTTCCGACCACCTGTAAAAAAGAATTGACGTTGAGACATAAGAAATGCGAAGACAATTTTATTCATTTAAGTTCATTGGAGGTCTAAAGTCTGAGACAGGTGTCGCGAGTATTTTGATTGAAAAACAATTCACTTTAATGTAATTTTTTGTACAGAGCAAGACCTGAAGGCTTCATTTACATGTTGACCTGACATGACTTGAAGCGATGTGACAGATATTTTTAGGCTTGTGTTCAAATAAGTAGAGGAAAGAACCTTTAATTGATTAATGTAGTTAGCTTATCAGTAGTCTCACAAAAGTGTGCAATAAACCACTGTTTCTTCTCTTCCTCAAAAAAGTGAGGAGAAGTAAAAGAAACTTTTGACTTAGATACAATCTCTGTCATTGAAATTACCTAAATCATTTCCAAACTATCATGAAACCAACTATAAGATCGCAAAAGTTATCATACAATAAAAGAAACCTACCTCATGTTGCTTGAAGTACTTGGAAGACTCGAGTTTCGTCCTGATCTCATTGAGCCTCACAAGAAGTCTTTGTCGGACGTCTTCTCGGTTGCCGAGGAAGAGAGAGATGGCGTCTAACACTTGCGCATCACTCTTGACACACTTCAGATCTGTTACCGGAGGAGAGCCACGGAACTGTAGAAGAAAAGAGTGATTAGATAAAGCTGTTAATGACAATGGACATACTCTGAAGGTGGTTACATATGAAGTGGACGAGAACTATACAATTAATCAAAAGGGAGGGTAAACAACCCATCCAAGTAAGCCTAAACATTTCTTGAAAACTCATTGAATTCCTAAATGATTTAATACTCAGAAATTTGAACCTTAACCTTTGAGGCTATAAAACAAATTGTGGTCAAATTTGAAAAGCATTTAACTGCCTTTAGTACAGTCGATAGTTTAAAGCTTGGATGGTAATGAAATAAAATAAATGAATAATAAAACATTTTACAATAATTGTAGTGAAGTTAATAATAAGTAGTAGTTACAAAAAATAACAGGTACCCGAATGTCACTGCAATTGTTGCAACCGTGATAAAAAAGTAACTACAAGACATGACACAAGTAAATTATATAGTACAGTCTAGTTTGAAATTTGGATGGTAATTCCTAGTTGACAGTGTCTAGTTGATATAGATTCATAATTATTCTGACAGGGGAGACTTCTTAAAGCATATGTTTGATTCTTACCTTCATGGCCTCTATCCGGAAGCCATGGCTGCAAGTGGAACTCTGTTCTTCTCTGAACTGCATGTACCTCAGCTTGGTGATGGCCTTCTGTTCATGTTCTTCCTCTGTTGGAGCTGTAGGATCAACTGCAACCATCTGGACAAGACAATAGCTGATACGAATTTGTCTAGATTATGATTGAGACCCAGTAGACTGAAAAGTAATCATACAACATCTACAAGCAGGTAGACAAATGAATATAATGTTGAACTACAGTACTGAGATAAATAGTTTTGAACTAGAATAATGTTAACTGTAAAATTTAGTGAAAATTTTTTGCAAAAATTGACACATGAAAATTTGTTGCAAAGAATTTGTTTGATCAGATAACCTACCTTATTGTAAAGATCTTCTCTGGCTTTGGTGTTTTGCACTTCATCTTCAAGAAACGTTCTCCTGCCCATCTTGATGTCCATCACATTCGGGTCCCGGAATGAATGTAGAAGATCTTCCAGTTCAATGAAAGTCTGACCCCCGTATTGGACCTCTCTGCAGAAAAGATTATCATGAGTATTTCAACTCCGCAATTGGTAACACAATAAAAGTTATTTACTGGTGAAAAATCACTTATGTAGCATAGTTCAGAAACATAAAGCAGATTTTACAATATTTGTAGAAAAATAATAGTTACATAATGTAATAGGTTATAGAAATGTCACTGTAACTGTTGCAACCGTGACAAAAAAGTAACTATAAGAAATTACTCAAAATTTGAACTAATGTACAAGAACAAATTAATACCATCTCTAAACGCTCTAAACCAATACTTTAACATTAGAAATTAATAGGTTCCTAAAAGTAGCAAAAACCGTTACAACCGTGACATAAAAGTAACAAACCTGAGGTAACGTGGGGTCACGTCTTGCAGGGCCGGCTCCATCGACAAAGCTTCATACACGGCTCTCTCAGTGCCGCCGCTACACTTCTTCCAGACAGTCCCCGGTCCCGCCGGCGCGAACGCATCTGGATGCCCGCTCAACTGGAACCACTGGTTTCCGGCGCACGTGCTGTTGCTTCCGGTCGTCGTCTGGTTCCCGCCTTGGCGCAGCAACACGTCACTGGCTGGTGCTGTCAGCTCCAGGGCGTTCTGGAGGGAAAAATTTTACCGTCAGTGAATTGCACAGAAAATGCTAACACCTGTTAGTTGGTAAATTAGGGACATGCAAATGCACAGGACACATAAAAATTGGCTTCAAACTTTGAAGGAAATATTAAATCAAGGGATAAATTGTTGAGATTGTGGCTAAGCCTAAGTGTAACAAGAAGATTTAGAAAGGTGTCTAACTCCTTCTTAAGAGTACCATTGATTTAAGGGAATTTAAATTATTTTGTAACTCGTATATTAAAAATGATTCAGTAAATGATTCATGTCTGTGTATACCTAAGTCTAGCAAAACACAAAAAGAATCACTTGAACATAATTTTTCCTACGAGTTTCCAACAACTCACATATACATTAATGGCGTTAAAATTAAACATTTCATCTACAATTTACTCACCAATGCCAGAAATTTCAGCAGCGAATGTTCCTCATCCCTTTTCCGCACTTTCTTGGTGCACGACGACTGTGTCACAGCCCGCTTGTGGTCGCCAGACTGCTGTAACAGAAGAAGGAGAAACTTTGTTATAAACTGCAACATGTCACAGTCACCTACAAGTCACACAGTAACGGTTACAATCCTGGAGCGGGTAACGTTAGCGTCCCTTCACTACACACGGAGCCGGACCTCGGTCGTCGGTTGTAGGTTGTAGGCCGACCTCAATTTGATACCGTAGCCAACACACTTTCTCGCAGCACCCAATGTTGCTACGGCGGGAATTATTTTACAGAGTGAGGGATATTTTCACTCCCAAGAGGGGAAAATCGGGAAATCATACGACAAATCTTTGTACTTTTTAAGGTCGAATTTCGATTTAATTCCGACTGAACTAAAACGTTGGTTGATAATTGAAAAATTGTAATGTTTGTGCAAAGTAACCACAGATTTTTTATAATATTTTGGGAATTTAAACTCAACTCAGGGATTTTTTGGTTTGTGTGGGATAAAACGAAAGTCGACTGCACCCAGCGGCGCAGACGCAAACAGACGCTGCTTATCGCTTCTGATAAGCCACTGATAAGCACGACCTCTGATACGGTCAACACAGCAGACGACAAAATGTCGAGTGGATTTCCAATTGTACACAGCCCAGGACGTAAATTCCAAAAACAAACTATTCTATGGTGTAACTAAACTTCATCTTGTCGAACCCAATGCGATAACGGGTGACATAATCGGATAGATGATCGATACGACTATCGATATGCAGGAAGTCGATGGCGTATCGAGTTATGTAGACGTGGACATGCGTCAATTATCTAGCTATCACGTCTGGTGCGACCTCGTGCCCACAATGCATTGTGTTGCTTCCTAGCAAGCGTGCCAATAGGGTTCAAGGGCGCGCGGAGTGAAAGAGGGACCAAAAATATAAAAAAAATCAAAAGCTTTAAAATGTCATATAAAAATCGTCAATCTCCAGTCCAAACAAAACAAAAACAAAAAAAAAATACAGAGGCAACACACAAAATAAGTACGTAAGTTTCAAAATTAATTGAAATATGCCACGGCTTCTACGGATGAGGAGACTTAAAATACCCAGAAAAGTTCATACGAACAAAAACAAAAAAACCTAACTACTTTACTTAATCTGTTTGATGTGAACAATCCAAGATTTGACAAAATATCCTATCTATTTGCGCAAAATATGTTTAAGGTATAACATCGTAAATATTAGTGGATACTAAGATAAATAATACAACCTACTTTCAGGTAAACCCTAAAATAACTTGGAAAATTTTACGAAAATCGAACTAACTCTAATAGAAACCTCTAAAACACCACAATATTCAGAATTTTCACATCTATATTACCGTTCCAACACTCACGAACTGACGTCTCACTCGGTTCAACACACTTGTGTGTGCTTTACTGGAATTAACTGGTACGATAACACCTGTGATGACAACATGGTGGAATTATTGATAAAGAGGCGATATAATGGGGTTATCGCGTCCAGATGTGCGATAGCTGCAGAGGACGACCGGTTAGCTTCCTGGCCATCACGGTCGCATACACGGCGATCCTGCTTACTTGGGGGCTACACAGCAGGGGGTATCTGTGGTTGCCACAAAGTTGAAATTGTTCGACTATAGTGGAGGGTGTGCAAGAGTTTACGCAACATAGGGTGAACTAGATAGTCGACCTGGGACCTGGGAGAAACGCAAACGTTAAAATTATTCACCTATAAAATACGTTTTTATAATTTAGAGGGTTTGAGACCGTCACGGAATTAAATTATCCAATCTGATAGTTAAAATTATGTTACCACACAGTATTTGTAGAAAGTTGAAACGCACGATAATTTTTAATGGATTTTAGACCGTCAAACAATCCATCCTGTAGACATGAAGTTAAAATTATTTATATGTTACCACACAGTATTTGTAGAAGGTTGAAACATACGATAAAATTAAGGGCTTTAAGACAATTCATCCTATACACATGAAGTTAAAATTTTTCATATATGCCTGAAAAATAATGTTAAAGCTATCTACGATAGTATATGTAATTTTGATGTTTTCCCGAGATATAATGGAGTCACATAAGTTTTCGTTTACGTTCCTCCAAATTTCTATCTTTATGAAAAAATAGGCAATAAGACTTACAGGAATACTACACAAACAAAAAGATTGAGCTGTGAAAATCACACACGTGTCAAATAAGCAGCTGTTTATAAAACGCACAAATTAAACGCACGTGTGTTTTATTGCTTAGTAACACATATTTCTACGACAATATCTGTCTACGACTGAGCGAGGAAAGGACAAGAGTTTGCATTTGCGTCACCGCACATACGAAAGTCACGGCCGCCATTACGAAAATTGAAATTGTAAATCATACCTCACTGCGAGGTGAATCCGAATTGGAAGTTCAATGATAACATTGTTAACTCCAGAACGCATAAGGAAAATCGGTAGAGCGAAGAGTTCGAGTGGAATTTAATCTTGAAGCGAATTCCACAAAAGAATTAGAGATTTACTGGATTCCATTGTTGAAACTCTGAACATAAAGTTAAGTCGCTAAACGAGAAATTCAGATTGAGATACGGTTAAATACATTGGCATTCACATAACTTCAGGTGCTGACAGCTTTTTAAAAATGTGAAGTCAAAAAACCAATATAAAAAATCCAGACCACAGAAACTATAATCGCGTGGATGGCAGATTAATTGTATGAGCTCAAAATTAGGCACGTTAAAATAGATAGACGAATTAAAACTTGAACTAGCTAATAAGTTTTAAACTGTGTAGGCCCCTATTACGTACAATCTTTCAAATTACTAAAATACTATAAATACAATAAAAACTTTTTTACCGAATTAATTTTAAAAATGTAGAACATTAACGATGATTTAAAACTAAACTCATCGACAGTTAAAATATATATTAATTTCGCCTAATAAATCGAGAACGTAGAAAAAAGGCACGTTGCACGATCTAAGAAACGTATTATTTCAACAATTAAATTACTTACAATCCACACATGTAAAATAAACCCACCTTAATTCCACAAAACAAAAATATCTGCATATCCACCATCTCAGGTGTCGAAGATGAACACAAACACAAACTCGACCAACACAAACCCCCCTACACAAACTACACGAACCGCATTCATCGAGAACCGAACACGAACTGGGACCGCGTTTATCTATCGAGTACAAGGTCCGAACTTCGCAATAAATAAACTATATTTGAAACCAATCTGACAAAAACTCCTATCAGGTCACTGTTGACCCGTAGAGCGGCGCCTGACCATCGTTTGACCCCATGGAGATACCGGGGTTAAAACATAGGGTGATAGAATGTAATATTGGGTAAGTTAAGAAGATTTTTCATCGATTATCAACAAAAATTAAGTCACGCGAGTTCAGTTTTTTCAATGGTGTATTTGGATTAAATTTGGCAACAAAGAGTTCATTCACTCAATATTTGCGTCAGATATCGTTATTTAATAAGGCGTAAAAATGCTTAATAGTGTCATGTATTTTTTGTGTGAATAAAACGATGATACAGTAATTTATGTTTTGTTAACATTTGTGGGAACAGTATACAGACAGAAAAGTTTATTCTAGACACTATTTACTACCTACAAAATATTATATATTAATAATTGAATGGATATTTTAAAGTTTGGTGTAATTGGAATTAACACATTTTAATTTTACAAATTAGTAGCTTCCACAGATCACAATAAAAATAAAATAAACTTCCCACCGTTTTTTCGATGGTAAAACATATAACAAAAACATATTGCACTCCATACAACTATTGTTACATCGCAAGGACACTTATTCAGATAAACAATTCCAGTAGTAAACACTTCATATAGTACTCCAGTGCAACAAGTAATAAACTACATAATAACATAACCGTTGTAGACGGCGGACGGCGGACGGGGGAACACTGGTATTGAAACGCCGACCATATACAGAACTACACCGCTTCCGTGAACATACTCGGTATAATAACACATAAATTGACACTGATACTAGCTAACTAGCTAGAGTGTAAATATGTTGTGGAAATATTACTGAATCAGTGTATAAATTACACACATGGCTACACTTTGTCGGCTAGTTTGTAATTATTGCGTTCGCTATTTTCACTTTGAACGCATTTATAAATTTGAGCTGATTTATAAATTTATTGTAGTGGACGAGAAAACACATGTTGATTTATTTATTACTACAATGCAATTATGTCATTCTACCGAAACATGTGATTGTTACCATTGAAACAGCTGATTCGTAATGCAAGTCCTTATAGGTTAATAATAATGCATTATTTAATTTGATTATTGATTTTAATTGAATGTTTATTATAATTAGTTTTGTGCTATAACCTGTGGTAAAGCATGTTTTGACCTAGTCTGGTAATTATAAAAACCATATTTACATGAAATTATGCATTGCAAGTAAAACATTTACTATACAATTTAAAACGTTTACAAAACTAACTGTTAAAATTTGTAGCATATTACAAGCTAGGCCTAATATACGAAATAAGAACATTGGAGTTATTCAGTAAATAAACAACTGAAAAATCCAAATCCAAATCAATACTGAACAGTTCAAGGGTTGTTGGTACTAAATTTTTCATACAACTTGCTGTATTGTTATCAATTAATCCAAAAGCGTTCAACTAAAAAATTGTTATATATTTTTTTAATTTTCTGTTTTAACTTAATTTGCGTTTATTTGATTGGTTTGTAGTACAATATTTAATAAGAACTTAGCGTGTAATATATATATATATATATATATATATATATATATATATTCAATTAAATTACACTTTCATAAGGCGCATTAGCTCCAACTAAACATTAAAGTTTAAATCCAAAAACTACTCACTCTGTATTTCAAGATCGCTTGGAACTGTTCGAGGGCGATTTCCATGACAGATCTTCGGGGGAAATCCGTACAAACCCCGGCTGCGGACATGGTCTTACACATCGATACTCCTTTGGCACACACGCAAAATCCGCAAAGGCAC